TCATGGAAATTCTTGATGTTATTCCACCGTTTGTTACTCTTTACTAAAAAAACAAGGTGTAAGTGTAAACATGATAGGTATAAAAGGTGTAACCTTGAAATACTATAGGATTTGTAAATCAGAAAATGTATCAAACATATTTTCCTACATATGGGTGGTGAAATATTAAAATTTGAGCTGATTTCCTTCTATGTATGGAGATTAGGTGTAATTATAGAAAACACCCAATTTTATTATGTGAACACATTAAGTCCGTATTATCTATGCTTGTCTTATTATAAATACAAATATGTGTGTTTGTTCTCTATTAGTAAAAATTCACTAGTAAGTTGCAGTAGTCTTTATTTCACTGCTTTTATCTGCCACATTCCAAGTGAAACACACATGCTGTGTTTGGTAATAGTAACACTGATTGAACTACACCAGCACTCCATTCACTGAGATGAAACCATTACTGGAGTGGGTGGAAATTAAGCAGTTTAAGCTCGAAGGAATTAACACCTCCCTCACAGAGCTGTGGCTGATTGGAAATAAGCACACGAACACGTAACTGTGTCCTTAATACCCGACCGTTAAAAGAGTCATTTCAAGAAAATGGACACTTTGTTTTTGACACTGTTAGTCCAATGTGCCAAATGGGCTGTCTACTAGCTACTGAGCTCGAGAAAACGAAAAAGTAAGCATTCGCTTGATATATCAACAACACATTTGAATTCTAAATGGGTAATCACTCTCAGTTGAGGTTTGTCTCAAATTGCTGCTGGAATACTTTTCTACTTCAAATACAAAGCCAGGTCCCAAATCCTCAATAAAATGGGCAGAACAAGAACCCGTGCAGGTATTTGGACCATACATGGCTAAATGTGGGCTGTGACTGATGATGTCTCATATCGTCTGAACAAGAAAGCAGAATAAGTGAAAACACATGCAGGGACTTTAAAAGAAATAAGGCTCTGGTAAGGGTTAAATAGTTGTAAGTATAAACATTGTCTTGTAATCTGATATTTAAAGCTAGTTATATTCAAGCCCTTGTCAAATGAGTTCACGCAATGCTGATTAAGCCTGTCACTGGTAAATCTCTGTATTTGTGGTATAGCAGAGTGTTAAAATCTGGTGCCTGCTGCGACATCCTGGCAAACTGGTAAAGATGTGTTTTACGTCAACAAGCAACGATTGTTTTGCCAGAGCTGAAGGCAGGAGCAACTGTAGTCGCAGCCAATTCAAATGAAAGTTGTTTCCTAAATTGGCTTTACAGATGCAGGGAAATTGCTTATCTTTCATGTATATGTGTATATTTTACAAATACATAGTGTATTTGCTTATCGTAGCACGTTCATAGCTTCCTATGATGCTCTCACACCCTTGATTTTTGTGCCTGTCAGGATGATTTTGGGTAGGAAAAAAGTTTAGAATGAATGAATAACCATTAAAGAAGTGATTTTTTTAATTTAAAAACAGCTTTGTATGTACAGACACAACTTGACCTCACTCCATTGTTACATGCCTTCTTGCCTGCTCTGGTCTTTCAGAAGTCAGCAGATTTCAGGAGAGTTTGAAAGGCTTGTTAGGTCTAATTCATGGCACCTGGTCATCCTGAAATGCCTATTTAAGCTGATTCAGCTACCATTTTCTCCCTCAGGCAGAGGTGTCGTCTGCAATTAATATGTTGCTAAAACCACTAACTTCTAATAGTTTGCTCTTATTGTTGTCTTTTTCGTTTGTATCCAGTACTCCCTGCAAAGCAGCATTGATCTACACTTGGTCCACAGCAGTCTCCTGAAATAACAACAATTGCTGGCACTTGAACTTTGTGTGACTTCCTGCCCTGTCACTCACACACACATTGAGCCAGTTTTTGATGCCACACATTGCAGCTCTGGTCCTGTGATCTGTGACCATTGTGTCAGGGAACCAGATACGACTGGTGTTAGGACATGTCTTTTGACTCCAGTGACTTATACAGTAGCAATGCAGATACAAAGAGTTACACTGATTATTAGAATGGGAAATGGACTTCACACACATTCATACACTGATGGCAGAGGCTACCATGCAAGGTGCCAACTGCACATCAGAAAGAAAGTGATCATTCATACACACCGAAAGCACAGCATTCTGGAGCAATTTGGGTTTCAGTATCTTGGCCAAGGACATTTCGACATGCAGGCTTGGGGAAGCCGGGGATCAAACGGCCGATCTCCTGACCTATTCTTTTGTTTAGGTAAGAAGATCTATTGCATAATATGCATTGGTACTTGTTTGAAATGAACCAGTGCCAAGATAAACAAAAGTCACCTCCTCCAGGTCTCCTCCCAGAGAAAGTACAAAGACAGGAAAGGGGAGACATTATTGTTGATGATGTATATTGTATTGTGTCTCCTATTGGACTGCCATAACTTATTCAAATTTCAGATAAGAGCTGAACTGTGGTTGTGCTGTGGTTCATTGGAGCATTCATTTAATTATCATCATCATCAGTCTGGTGATGACAGCAAGGCTTTCATCTGAACTCGAAACTTGAGTTTCAATTTCCAGGTTCATGCTGGTTCCACGTGATCCCGATTGTCTTATTTCAGTGCTGATATTATGTCCTACGCAAAATGCTCACTAGATGAGTGGGCACAATGTTTTGATGATTCAGACGAGGGAGCTCTTTCTTCACCTTGCAGGTCCCAAGCTGCTGGGTGGTTAATTATTTACGCAGCTGTTTAATCTTTCAGTAATACCAAACTGTGTCAGGGGACGAGGTTAATGGGGATGTAAGATGTGATCAGAGATACATTAAAGAGTCAGGGAGAAGGAATCATTGAGGCTTCAAAAAACTGTCCCCGTGTCGTTGGAAAACGTACAGCACAGAATGTATAAGATGGCGTAATTAATTTTTATTTAGAGTTTTTTGGCATAAAATATGAAATGATGAAAAGAATTAAATTGCACTAATTTATTTTTTAACATATTTGTCAAATAATAAATTATATTCTCTCTTTTAATCAATGTTAATGTTGCTAACATTTAAACATTACAATTGTTTGCATCTTTTCTCCTAGAATAGAATCTTTCTTTCATTTGGAGAAGTTTTTCAAAATGTTTCCAAAATGAGAAGATTTCCAAACTTACTACATAAAAGTTTTACTGTATGTGATAGGTTTGTCTTATGTCTTCATACTTTATTTATAATACTTTATTTTATCAAACATGTTGCAGTTTGGGGCCCCTCCCTCAGCTGGGGCCCTGGACACTGTCTTCTATTGTAGTCCAGTTTACAATGACCTTTTCTTTTGATTTATATTTTTATATGCCAATTAAATGAAATATGTTTTTCTTTTTACCTTGACAGGTAATTCTTGATGGTCTTCAAAGCTCCAGAATAAGTGAATAAGTGGACCTGTTTGAGCTAAGCTCAAAAGATCACCATTCTTTACCAAAATATGACATTACATGTATTCCCAATATTTGTGCTATTTGTGAATGCAGAGCAGCAGCTGTGGGATGATGTCAGGGTGGTAGGGATTGGGGGGTAAATGCAAAAATAGAATGTGACATGGCCCCAAAAAGAGAAAACAAAACATTTCACTTTGCTGTTTTCAGATTTTTAAGCAATTTTTTTTTTCTCTTTAGTTATTTTTGTTTTTGGCCTCTTTTAAAATACATGTTTGTGTTGTTTATCACCTCACACCATATTTTCCTGTTGTTTTTTACTCTCTCTGTCTCTGCGGACATTAAATGGGCCATATTGCACCCTGAGGCTTGTATGTCCCCTGCTGCAGCCCAAAGTCTACAGAAGGGGGGGCATATGAAGAGCAGCTTATAGAGAAAGTGCTAGAGATAAAAAAAAACAACAACATTTACATAAACAAGATTCACGCATCTTATAGGGATGCCATGTTCCAAAGTCATCATCATTTTTATTTATTATCATCAAAAAAGAGAAGATGTTGATGGGATGATTAGGCCAGTAGTGTAACTTACTTAATATTGACTGGCCAGAGTAACAGTGTCTCAGCATTGGCGACAATTGCCTGCAGAGAGGATAAAAAGCAGAGGAGTTAAAGCAGGCCAATGTTGAAAGCAGTGGGGGGTGGAAGCTATGATGTGAAGATACTTTGCCTCTCCCTAGAGCAGAGGAGGCAGAGACACAGATGTCAGTGAACAAAAATTCCCCAGAGACAGGAGGGCAAAATCTGCTCATTTCTCAGCTTTGCCTGACGAAACACAGTTCGTGAGAGCTTAGAGTGTTTAATTGGCTCCATATATTAACATCATCACACACTTTTTGCCCTGCATCCCTGGACATCTGCTGTGAGAATTATGACCCTGGGTTTGCAGATGGGATAAGACTGAAGGATTGTCACGCTTTAATTTTCAATGTTTCTTTTTCCTTTTTGAACATTGCTTTTATTGTTTTGAGTAACTCACAGTCAAATACTCCATTGTGTTCAATGCCTTGGCACCAATTTTAAACCCAGACTATGCAACCATCTTGTCTGTATTGGTAGAACAAAAATGTTTTTGACTCATGAAGGCAAAAGTTGGAATGAGTGAGTGTGAATTTTATTTATTTGCTCAAAATCAAATAAATTCAATTGAAATAGCAATGGGTACTAATGTATAAGAAGATGGAGAAGTGCCAATTTAAATAATATATAAAACAAAACAAAAATATGACATTAAAAAATAAAATGGAGGCCAAAGTATTTTTATTAGTTTAGTTTGGACTAGAAGATGTTGGTAATTGACCCCTGAGATATTTGGAAAGATGGTTGAGACAGAACAGTGTGAAGTTGTTTGAATATAAGAGCAGAAATGATTATGGTTGTTAGATTTTAGAAGATGTTCTGCTCTATGTTGTTCTCAGTAGTTTCTTTATCTTGATGCTGACTAATGAGTAAATGTGTTAATTCCAAAAAGGTTATGTTACTATTCATAGCTCAAAAGGCCTAACTGCTGAAGTGTGTAAAATGTCACTTTGACCTCCTTTTTGTGTAATCCTTTTACATTTTTTGCACTCTTTGATTTCCACCTTTTCATTCATTTTGCATTATTTCTGACTGTGAATTGTTATATATCCACCCATCTACTGTATATAATATGTGTAGGCCCATATAACATTTGCTTTTTGTGAGAGAACTACAACTTAATCTCGTCATACAACCCTGTGTTGTAATAAGATAAATTCTTGTACCTTATTGTGAGTCTATTTGGCATTGATTCAGAGTCTTTAAATTGTCATCAAAAGTCATCAAATCTGTTGGACGAGGGCCTCTCTGAATGCCGTAAAAAGACATATGTGCACTGTTGAGTGAATCGATCTGTCTAACACCATGTGTCCATTTAAAGGTGTGTACACTTAGAGAATAGAAAGGGGATCAAGCCACTCATTATGCGAGAAATGATCTGTAGTGACGTGGGTCTTAATGAAGTTTGCGCGTGCACTGCGTGTGACTCGCGGCAGTGCAATACAGTGCTGTCATCCAAACTTAGCGGAGCCTCCTGTGAAGCGTCAGACTGACTGCCCGGCTGTGAGATCAGCTCCACATCTACTGCAGATGCTCAGTCAGGTGGCTGCTGCTTCAACTTCATCACCGCGAACTGTGCAGTGATGGTCGAGTGTGTGGATGTGGTTTAGAGAGTCGGGTCCAACTGGCTGATGCTCAACCACCTGCACGTGGCGGAGGACTGCCTTCTTTTCCTTTCCTCGACCTCCAGCCTCCAGCAGCTTCACTTCGCCCGTCAAGCGAGAGAAAGCGAACGATGAGCTCCTCTCTCCCCAAAAGCGAGTCCACCACCTCTCTGCTGAGATCATCGGGGCTCAACCGCAGGTCCGGGCACTCGAGTAACGGTCCACACGATCACCGGGGCCACCGCATTCACCGTCCCTCCACCGGAGCTGGAGGCAGCGATGATGCAGTGTGGGCGGAGGACTGCGAGACGAGTGCGCGGAGACCTCTCTGCCAACCAAGACATGCCGACTCTCGAAATATAGGTGATCACCGGGTGCAGACAAGCCACTCTCACCGGCCGGCGAACCCGCAGGATGATGGTTACGCACAAGAGGACGCAAGACACAGGACGAGCCGGCATCAGAAAGAGCGCAGCAAGTCCTCCAGGTCCAAACACCCCCATCATCACCACGACTCCTCACGAGTTGAGCTGCCTCCTGCGGCGCATCACCAAGGCGGCTCCCGGCAGGACAGGAGGACCTCTCCGACTCCATCTTATCCAAAACAACCGGATGATGCGGCTTTCTTCTTCGAGCCCAGGGAGAGAGTCGTCACCGGATCATCCTCCAGCCTCAGTTCTGACCCACCTGCGACCAGCGCACCTCTCCAGCCCGCAGCAAGCCGCACGTCCAAAAGACTGAGCGCATCCATGTCTGAATATGACTCTAGTCTTCATCCCATAGTGAAGTCAGTCTTCGGGCAGGTAAGTGGCATAGTGAAGAGACAATCTAACTTTTGAAAGTTCTTAAAAGTATTCAAAAACACAATGTGCGGCGAATATTCCATTTTTTTTTTAGTTTTTTAGTTCACTAAATCAACATTTGAACATCCCCCTACCTTTTCTAAATGTAATGCAACAAAATAGTCGATTTAAATTTAAACAGTGTTTAAATATTGCTCAAATCTCACTTATGCGCTGTTACATGTGTGGGTGTTTTGTGTAATAAAATGCAAAAGGGCAACATTTCAAGCTGTAAAGTAAATAAATCAGCAGCAGCTTTATCTTGATTCAAGAATCCAACATTTGGAGGGAACTTGCACAACATCTCAGTAATCAGTACATTAATTTAAACTTTAAGCTTTTAAAATTTCTTCACCCTGACTTGCTTCACACATAGGGGCACTCATTCATTTAAGAAAAAGTTACACATGTAGCCTGTGAAAATAAAACTGCTTCATCCGATCTTTGTAAATGTCTCAATGAGCTGTATGGTCACATCAGCTCCTCTGTAAGAGGGCAAGGAAAAACTCCCCAAAAACCTTTACACATTTGCTGTGCTAATGGAGCCATGGAAAAAAATAAGAGAGCTTATTAAAGTCCATCAATGAGAGTATGAATCGAGTATAATTGGATAAAAATAACTCCAATATCTAATCTTCACACCGATCCCAGTGTAAGAGATGCCAGGTCTATCAGTATTGGTGGCTTACAGTCAACATTATGTCCATATTCTAAACAAAATGAAAGTTTTATGTTCTCCTATATTGCCAAATTCACTGTAGAGTGGATTCTTATTTTAAAAAGTGCATCACAGCCGCAGAGCTGTTTAGCCAACAGCAGGTGGAGGTTCACAGGTGAGATGCAGGTGAAACTGGGACCTATTGAAGGCATGTGCGACTGGACCTCCTGCCACCCCAGCTGAGCAGATTAAAAATGGATGCATATATTCAGGCCAAATCTTGCTCCAATGTATGTGTCTGGTATCCATCAGTTCCATGGCGTGGGGGCTGCATCTTGTCACGCATCCCGAAATGAATGCAGCCGCTTTCATTGTGACTGTCACCTGAGCAACAGCAGGGGGATCAGCTTTCCCATTGTGTGGAAAACTTTTTCAATGATGAGAGCTTGTCACTCTTTCAAACGCACACACACAAAAACACACACACACACACACACACACACACACACACACACACACACACACACACACACAGGTAAGTAAACCATTTAAACCACAATATCATTCACCTCAACAACTTTTACTGAGACAATGGTCAGTTAGGGTCAACGGCAAATAAAGGGTGTATCTGTTTCTCCCTGCATCACTCGTTCACCCTACTAATTCATGAGTTTTCTGAGGGTACTGAACCTCTCTGACTCCGACAGATCGCCCTGTACAGTAGGTTGGTAGCATAATTCCCCCCTGTCTTTTTTTCTTGTTTCATTGAAATCCTACTCTCTCTGATAAAAAGCTCAAGAGGGGACAATTACCTCCCCGAACGCTAATGTGCTCCAGAAATAACTGCTCTCAATCCAGGCCAGAGCTTCAATCAGTCTTTGGGGTTCCGGTGAGGCAAAACCCATTCAGCGGTGTGCTATATAAAGTCTCTAGAGCTGCTGACGTGTGTGGAAACGGCAGATATTCTGTTATTTTCACCAAATCTATAAATGATCAGGGATTAAATTCTGATCTTTTCCAGTGGTTATTCAAGTGTTATGTTTTATATTTGAATAGTTTTCAACTCGCATTAAAAGCACACACACAGTTTAGCTATTTAGCAAACCTGAATGTTTAATCTGTCACTGAATCAAGTTTTCCAAGAGGACACGTTTGTCTGTTTTCTGTGATGTTGTCACTGTGAAGTCGGACACAGATGTCAATAGTCATAAAGGATTTCAGATGCCACTCAGTTGTGCACATCGGTGTTTGTGTGGACGAGGAACGGGAAAGGGTGAACAGTGTGAGAATGAAAAGAAAGAAAACCGTAGGTGCATGCATGTTTTTTTGTATCTTTGCACCTGCTCAGCATCTTACCCAAGCTGTTTCATTTTAGTGACCATGCAGTCATAATAACATGCCTTTAATGCTTCTTGAATAGATGTGGCAGCGTGGCAATGAATGCAGGGTGAGATGTAACACTTTTAAAATTCTTTCATTTCATATTTTCTTATGTAACATTAAGATCTGCATACAATCTCAACAGAACTAGTTTGCTGCCAGTGGAAGAAGCTATAAATAGCCATTCAAGACCTGATTATGAGAGACTGGAGGAAGGCAGAGTGTTTATTTTTTTAGCAATCTTGACAGAGCAAATTTGAGAAAGGGGTGAATAAAAAGAGCTGGTTTCCAGCATGTGGTGGCATGTTTCTCCAAGCTACACTTTCATATTCATAAGATGAATCATGATTAGCAAAAAGGCTAGTATGGGGGTTAGAGTAGGGACAAATGTGAAATGTGCTTACTTGAATGTGTTTTGCAGCTTGATGGTTTCAGATAGGTTACAGTGATTCATTTGATAACGCATTTTCTTAATGTACACATTCATATATTTAAGGTATGCATGTTCACAAAGCTCCCATTACTTCTCCACATTCAGGCCTTGAAACTATCCACGTTACACCAGACACCTTGATGAAGGACAGAGCATGAGCAGTTTTATTTCATCCCAGTAGAAATTTAGTTTCTATTTTAAGAGATTCTGAACAATCATCACACCCCTCAGTTTGTGTGACCTTCAGTGACCTTGTTCTACAAACCCTCACTGAGGAAATCTGCAGATGCGGTTCAGACTGGCTATTGAAAGACGTCTGTTATCTACTGCTGAGAAAATGTAATTGAGGAGATGACAATTTTCTTTTCAAATTAAATTTAGATGAGAGGATATGCGTATTAACCAGCAGAGGGTGCAAGTACCGTTTGCACTAATAGGTCTGAACTCAAAGAAAGAGTGTGTGTGTGTGTTATAGAGAGGGAAAGATTAACACTCCACTGTGTGTCACATCAGTGAGACAGGGGAAGTGAAAGGGCTGGGAAAGAAAGAGAAGGAAGTGAATCAATTTGATAAATCGGGATGAGGACAAAGAATAAAATAGGGAGGGAATGACCTGATGATAGTTACATAAGACTAACACTCATCAAGTCTCACTTCCCCGCTCCCATCTGACAACTCGGGAGACAATGTGAGGAAAGGTCTTTGAAACACAGATTAGCCTCTCACTTCCTCGCCTGGTTTTCCTGGTACTCATCTCACACTGACGTTTCCTGTCTGCCTTTCCCTTTTTTCTTTGCTCTTTCAAAACCTCTCTCCCACTTTCCTCTGCCGGGGTCACACTGACCTTCATTACATCCGAGGAGGAGTGAGATGAGAGAAGAGGCATGCATTACAAAAAATAAGAAAGAACAAAAATGAGTAAAATAAGGTGAAAGATCTGGGTGGAAATGAGAGGAAAGAGGGTAGCATCATTGTATTCACCACAGCATATGCCTCCACTATGTCTAGAGTATAACAGGCTATTTTTAGACACAGATGGATATTTTTACATCTGTGCTGGCAAAGGAGGAGGTAGAATTCACTCTTTGGTTAAATCCCTTTGTGAGATGAGGATTAGGCAGAGCCTGCGAGCACAACCGCACGTGCTGGAGGTATATGTGTGTGCATGATGATACTAAATATTTATGGAGACCTGAGGCTGAGAAGGGAAAATCAGTGAGAGACACTGCGAGGCAGGGAAATGAGACCGGGGATAAATGAGTCAGAGGGGAAACAGAGGTTTAACTGATTGAAAAGAGACGTGTCAATGTTTTTCCTCTGCTGACGCACTAGATTTTTAACTAGACTTACAGCTGTTTGTACATGTAGTACACACACTGTCTAAAAAATAACACTGAAATATCAGAATAATCTGCATGAAAATTTTTGCGCTGTTCTGATTTGAATGAATGAATGAACTGTAGGATGAAACTGTGACGTCTCAGCCCAAGCACAAGAAGATGACGCAAGTGTGCACTGCGTGTTTTCTTTTCACTCCCTAGAAGTGTCCTGATGATGACAAAAATACACACACACACACACAAATCTCGTCGTCTCTACCTCTTTGCTTTCATCTCAGATTACACTGTAAACTCCGCAGCTTCAGAGAGATGATCACGTTTGACTATAACATGATTATGTTTCCTTCGACTGTGCAAATATAAAGAAAGACACAAAATGTTGCCTTAAAATAAGAAAAAGAACAATTTGATGATGCATGAGAGCTTGTTATTACATCAATCCCTGCCTTCACCCTCCTACAGCTCTCAGTTCATTTAACACACTTGATGGCAATGGATGAAACAGGATTATGTCTGACCTCAAAATGGTCATTAAAAAGCAAATGCAAATATTAATATTGCCTCTTTGAATGGCCTTCTTGTCTTCTGAATGCATCTAGATTTATTTTCATTTGTCTACAATTAATATTTTGTGAATCTGTGTATGATTGGAACCCCAACAATCCTCAGATAGTCAGATTAATCTTCCCCTGAGATGTTGTCGATATGCAGCATGTAAGCAGTTATATAAATGTGTAAAGTAAATTGTGTGTGTCTGTGTGTGTGTGTGTGTGTGTGTGTGTGTGTGAGGGGGGGGCAGCGAAATGGATCCCATGCCCGTGCACACTGTGGTCTGACATTATGCGAGCTGACGGCTCTTGTGTCTGACGTCTGATGTGTTCTGAAGTTCACAATGAGCCTCCGGTGAGAGGCTGGATGAATCATCCACAGAACAACACAGAGGAGCCTTAGAGATATTGAATGGGAGCGAGATCTGAAACGACTTCGGCGTGAATGTGCTTATTAAAATAGCAGAGCATGGACAAGGTCAAACAGGAGAGGGAAATAAGGATGTCCAATAGTGTTGCGGTGACTGCCATTAAAGTGACCTCAGGAGTGAATGCTGCTTATAAAAACCTAAAATGAGGATTTATAGTGTCTGTTGTGGTTT